TCTTTGTTATGGGGTGGGGCCACAAGGGTGGAGTAACAAAGAAACAGAATTTCCGGAGTTGAGGGCCAGAAATCAGGATTTTAAAAAGATTCCCAGGTGATTCTAATGTGCAGCCAAGGTTGAGAACCACTGACCTAAAACCTTCTGCTCTAAAAACATCCAACAGCTCATCCTTGTTGAACATGTACCAAGGTCTCAGGCATGATTCTAGCACTTTGCACAAATTAACGCACGTAAATCTTCATATCTCTAAGAAAGTTAGCGTTACCATTTCTATTCTCTGAATGAGGAACTGAGGCACCCAACTGCCAGGGCCTAGCAGAGTTTACACAGCTACTAGGTGGGAGGGCCAAGATCTGAACATAGGCCTTCTCACCCCAGAGCCTGCACTCTTCACTGTAAAGTTATGTCGTCTCTTAAAAAGAATGAGCGAGGTCAAGAGAAACCACAAAAGTCAACCCAAGTGCCAACTGCTACAAGTGCACTGTGAACGCCAAGGATAATGTGCCTCGATCCTCAGCTCGGTGGAAGGGAGCCAAGGGGGGAAGTTCACCATCCAGCTGACCTCTGACAGCAGATTTAAGCTTGTCCTTTACCTAAGGCTTCTCATTAAGCAAAGCCAAATTAATAATTTGTTTTCAAGATAACACAAAACAGATATCAGAGTAATAAAAGAAACTTTAAAGTTTTATTGTGTGATGTGGCTAATCTTTATCAACTTTTGATTTTGCTTTAGTATTGAAATTAGGTATACTATTTAAGTACATGATAGTAAAACATTTCTTGCTTAAGGTAGCTCCTACAAGAGAAGAGAAAAAATGTAATTAGCACTACCAACAAAAAGGCAATACTGTGTCCTAAAGTTTCAATATAATCTTCCCTGAATCCCCTCAAATCGATTAGGCCTCCCATAGTGCCCAATACTTCTTCTTTGCTCAAAGAATATAAAATTTACTCAATACCATGCTTCCCCACCAGAAGAATTCTCCACTAGCTCAGGGATCAGATCTATACTGTCCCCCTATGTACCCAGTAATTAGCACAGTGCAGGCCCTTAGCAGAAGTTCAGCAATACTTACACACAGTTCTGGGCCTGGAATCAGAAAACAGATTCCAGAGCCAGCATCCTCACTTAACTGAGATCAATTTCAACTGCTCTGGGCCTTCATTTCCTCATAAAAGGGGTGTTTGGGTTCTCTGCCTCATCCACTAACCAGGGCTATTGAGATACGTAGAACAAGATAACGTGCATGGTAACTTGGTAAAGGGCACAGACGAAAAGGACTAAAACAGGGAGGAAAGAAAGGCAAACCTCCTCAATTGGTATCGATTGGTTTTGTTTGAATGTGGGTCACTTTTTATATCAACACTAGAGGCCTGGTGCATGAAATTGCTGCACTCGGGGGGCGGCGGCGGGGGGAGGGGGGTGGCCCTCAGCCCAGCCTGCGCCCTCTTGCAGTCCGGGAGCCCTCCGAGGATGTCCGACTGACAGCTTCAGCCCTGGGGAGCGGACCTAAGCCGGTAGTCGGACATCCTTAGCACTGCCGCAGAGTTGGGAGAGGCTCCCACCACCGCTGCTGCGCTCACCAGCCATGAGCCTGGCTTCTGGCTGAGTGGCGCTCGCCCTGTGGGAGCGCACTGACCACCAGGGGGCAGCTCCTGGATTGATCATCTGCTCCCTGGTGGTCAGTGTGTGTCATAGCGACTGGTCATTTCACCATTCGGTCTATTTGCATATTAGCCTTTTATTATATAGGAGGATGTGGAGTTCGGAGCCCTCCTCTCATTTCCAACATACACTCAGACCAGAGGGGAAAATATCATCAAGAACTCTGTCAATGAAGAAAGAACTGGGTCTTTAAGTAAGTCTCTTGTTACTAGTACCCGATCTTAGACAAAGAAATGTGTAACTGCCTTAACAGTCAAGAATATGAGGTCACTACCACATCACTGATGCTAAACCAAATCAAAGACACACACACAAAAAATATAGCTTAAACAAACGGTACCAACACACACAAAAAAAACCACCCCATGAACTTCCCTGCAGAGATCCAGGGTAGAGATGACTCTGACAGGAAGGAATGCAGCCATTCACAAATGTGCACATGGATATCAGACACTAACCGTCCTTAATCTCTGCATTGACATTCAAAATGCCACTCTAAGACTTGTTCAAGATGAACAATTTCCCAATTAGAGTTTAATTACATGTGTATTTCTGGTCCATTAAGAGAAAATGTTTAAGATGTGACCTACAAGTAAGCCCATTTGGGTTTTCCTTCTCATGGAAAATATCAACATTTATACCGAGAACCTCCCATATTTAACAATATGAAAATGATGTGGATGGTGCAAGAGCAAAATACAAGATTATAAAGAACTGAATCTTCTTTCCCCAACATTGTCCCCTCCTATTAGAGAGGCATTAACCTAGTGCATGAATATTCTTGCTCACACACTGAATTCTCCAAATGCTGCAGCAACTCCTGGAAGGAAAATGTGCACCATGCCTCACCCTGCCCAATGCTGAGCTGGCACTTACGTTCTAGTGGCCGCCACGGTATCAAGAGCGCATGTACATGTGTGCATACACACACATACATACACACACGCACACGCACACTCCTTCTTTCAACCATACAGATACTTTGTACTTTTTAGCACAATACTTCTACTTTAGAGGAAGATTTGAAATTGCTATCTGACTGCCTGTTGCTCTCGGAGAAGCCTCTTTTCAAATTGGTTACCTGACAGTTGTCACTGTTTCCTTGCTTTAGGCACTGAGGGAATAGCAAAGAAAAGACTCAAGTTCAGGAAAAGTGACAGGAATGGCTCTGAAAAGAGGAACCACTCCCCTCCAAGCACTGCATAACCCTTGACTATGTGGCTCCAAGTAGAAGACCTGGCATTTTTGGGGGCCTGTTATATATCAGGTATTGCGACCGGCATTTTTTAGGCATCTCTAACACTTAACACAAATATGGAATAAACAGTAGTCGTCCCATTAACAGATGCAGAAACAGGCTCAGAATCATTACCTACATTCTCCACGGTCACTCTGTTGACATGTGGAGGAGCAGAGCTTTGAAATCCCAGTCCCTCTGCCTTACGGCCGAGAAGATTGGGAGGGAACTGTTGAGGATCTGGAGTCAGATTAGCTCAGCTCCAACTGTGCTGGAAGAATAAGAAATGCCAGAGGACATGCATGGGGAGACAGAGGAGGTAGAGACACAGGTATGAGGTCCTGAGATACCGTGTGGCAGTCACTGCACACAGAAATACGGTGGAGGTGCAGTCTGAGGGGACAGTTAAGCAAGTGAATCCTCTGTTATGGGGCAGGGGCACCCACCAGGCAGAGGAAAAGAGAACTGAAGGAGCAGAGACAAGAAGACAAGGGAACAAAGAATGTCACCGAGAGGGTTGGTCAATGTGGCAACCAACAGGGGAGGAAGATATGGACTCCACTATCTGCTGTCATCTTCGTGAGACATGAACAGAGCCTTGTGAGGGGAAGCCCAACCACCACAAGGTTCAGAGCCAGTGGATAAAGGGGAGGGGAGAGAAAACAGTAGCTGCCAAATTCTAGTCTAAGAGTCAGTGTTCATGGTTGGCAAGACGAGGAGAATGGAAGGAAGGTGGTACTATTTTCTGATCCTGAAGCCCAATTTATTTATTTAAAAGAACTGTTGTTTAATCAGAATATATCTTTTGTCTTTTACTATATGACAGTGATAGTCTTTCTTATCAAAATGAAGTTAGCAATCCTGTGTCACAATTCCATTTTTTAAAAATTATGCTGCTCCATTAAATCTAAAAGCCTGAGAACCTGGGGCTGGCAATTAGGGGGAGAGAAAAGGGGGTTTCTGGCTGGAGGAGAATAAGGTCATTGTGTTTGGCTGTGATTTGTTGGAATATCTGCAGAGTCAGCAGAGCGGCAGTGAGAAGTGGGATGGAGGAAAGCTGGGAACTCATTCCCATTTCTGCTCAGAAAGGAACAAGGAGGGCAGCACACGGTGTGAGAGCGGGCTCCTGGGATGAGATCCACCAATCCACCGCAGAGGCAAATGGCAAAATCTCCTGGTTGTAAGGAGGAAGCGAGTTACAATATGAAACATTCCCAGCAAAAAAAAATTTTTAAGTGAACACTGCCTCTATTAGGCAGTGCTGCAGGGAGGCTGGGAGGGTCACATTGGCATGGAATGTAGGATCCCATTATGTATAAAAACCATGAATAGAGACCTGGCCAAAGACAGAATTCAAAGGCCACAAGAAGTAAACAACTAGCAGGGAACAGAACAAGCATGCAGAAGAGTTGCTGACAGGCTGTAGTAAAATACTGAATGTTTGACTTTGGGCATACTCAGTACATCAGACTGCTTCATTTAGAGTGACTTACTACTCGGGTAAAACAAGGTCCTTGTGTGCCAAACAGGCTGACTGATGAAGACAGTTTGAATGCTACGCTGCTGGCTGCCTGACTCAATCCTGCTTAAAAATATCTGGGATTGTCAAACAAGGCTAAATATGAATGCATGTTCCAAGTCTGCATTTGCTGCCACAGCTGTTCCTCTGGGCGTGCAGAGGGAGAAAAATAGCTACTATGGAGATTTTTCTCAAAGGCATCATCCCATTTATCATATTATTCCAACCACCACAGACTCACCCGGGGGCTGCCCTGTAGACAAAGGCATAATTCCTGTCCAGAGGCCTTTCCCATGTTTGTGAAGGGAAGGTGGGTGCACACACAATGCAGCGCAGGAAGGCTGACCTGGGTCTCTCTGGCGGGTGCAGGATGGGAGACGGCACAGAGGGGCCCTTTGTCGGTTTTATTTTAGTCTTGGCACTTGTGCTTTCAAAGAGCTTTCCCAGTTCAGAAGGTTTTCACCTAATCCAGCCACAATTACCAAAATAACCTTGACGCCTCAGTTTTTCCTCCCCAGCAGAGTTGGCTAAATATACACAAACATGTCTGGAGGTACAAGACCCTGATTCCAAAAAATAAAATAAAAAACTACAGAACATTGACTGTTATGTTTCATGTTGAATAATATGAAAGAGGGAAGGAAAATGTGGACAGTTTGGTATTCTTCTTACTTACCTTTCTCCCCAAACAAAATATATATGATTCTGGATAATGTCTACCTAAAACTTAGGTTAACAGCAACTAAATACCGAAAACTAAAACACAATATAGTGAATTTGTATTCATCAGCTACTTCATTCAGTCAAAATTACAGCTCATTTTAATTATGCCCGTATAATATGGACAGAATTACAACTACTGCTATTTATGTATCAAAATCTTCTAGGAAAATGAAGTCTTCCAGTGGGTGAATACTTGGATCTGAAATTAAGTCTTCAACTCTCCCCCAACCCTCCTCCACCTTCGATGGACCACAAGAATCTTTTCCTCCTCTAAACTGCAAACCAGACCGTATGGTCAGGCCAATTCCTTTGCACAAATTCTATGAGCCTGATTCTATGCTGTTCAATGCTACCTTTTAAAGTATAGCTTATCTTTCCAAATAGAATCTGTAATTCTTGTCAGCTGGGATAAACATCCTACTAAACGTGGGTGTTTGCCTCACACTCCCACACCATGCACAGTGTTTATGGACTAATAGACTCAACCACAGGACAGAATGAGTCATTCAGATTCCTAAAAACACTCTCTGGGCAAAGCACAGAACAGATGAGAGGGTGCAGGGCCGGAAGTGAATACAGTTCTCCACAAGTGCAGGGAGTAGCCATCTGGCCCAGATAAACTGGCCAGAACACTGGTTCTCAACAGTTCTCATCAGCTTTTGCCAAAGCACATCCCTAACCCAGGCCTACTAAAACCACTGAGTATCCCAGAGGCTGGGATTCTCAAATTTCAGAGTATAGAGGAATCACCTAGTGCACTTACTTGCTGGGAGGGCTGGCCCCACTCCTAGCAACTGATTCACCAGGCTTAGGTCCAGAGAAGGCATCTGCATTTGAACCCAGCAATCCTGGGAGATTCCGATAAAGAGGGTCTTAAGGCTGCCTCTGGGAAACACTGATGTGCTTAACTTAATCGTCCCTCAGACCTGAATGCACATCAGATCAACTGGGTCCATCATCACCTGAGAGTCCAAGAAATCGGCTTGTGGCATGATTTGGAAGTATTTAAAAAACAACAACAAACTACCCCAGATGAATGATGTGCGACCAATGGTGAGGCAGCTCCGGCCACTTTAGTGACCCTGACTCCCATCCACATTTTGCCTCCACAAGGAAGCTGTTTCTGCTCTCAGACTGAAGCAGAGCCAACACTTAAAGGCCCGTGTGCTGAGGGCTTTGTGAGAAGGCATCCCATGGCAGGCAGAGTACACAATGCAACAGGGAAAGCTATTTTGTTCTTTAAAGATGATGAAAGGAGTGGTGGGAAGGGGCAGGAAAAAGATGGAAACTGGGACTGTTTGAATTTAACTTAACTGCCTCCTCCCCATTAAAAAAAAATCAATGTCTTAAGAAATCCCTCTACCTATAACACAAGTACACTTTTTCAAAAGTAATCCTTAAAAAATAGGTTAAACTAGAAAGCAAAGTGCAAAAGGTATTCTAAAAAGATCTCAGAAACATGTTTATATTATTCAAAAAAATACTGTAGAAAAAGAGCTTAAGTGCTTAAAAATTATAAGTTGTCCCCTGACAGATGAAAAGGTATGACATTTATAATGCATTTAACTTCTTAAAAAAAACACAAGAGAACTTATACATTAAAATGGTATTATCTCCTGAAAGCATTCATCATATGAAGCATGCACATATATTCTTCTAGTGTTGCCACTGGATGAATGTTTTGGAGTTCTCTCTTAGAATTATAATGAGTATTTCTCCTAACTCAATGTTTCGAGAAAATCTTACATGACAAACACTGTCTTTATTCAACTGTAAAAACTTCAACACTGGGAAGCAGTATAAAATACACCCTGTGTTTCAGCTGAATCTCACTCTGAGAATAATATACTATGGCAAGTTTGGTTCTATTTCCATGTCCTAAAACTATTTTCACAGTACCCACCCCTAACCCAGTTTAGGGCAAAAACAGAGAGAGAAGGTGAAATGTCTGCTTTTGCTGAGGGATGATCTGGGTTATTATAATAGACTAGAGGCCCAATGCACAAAATTCATGCAAGAGTAGGCCTTCTCGGCCCAGGCTGCCCTGTGGCCCCACCCACTGGTCATTCTGGAAGGTCGTTCCACTATCTGGTCTAATTAGCATATTAGCTCTTTATTATATAAGATGCTTGAATTCTGAACTGGGCAAAAATCATTTCTGTACTTAAGCTATTACTCCATGGATTCAGCTCACGATGAGAAAGGCCAAACTATAAAGACATCCTTTGGCCTAAGTGCTGTTTAGGAATCTCGACCCCTTCAGGAGCTGTTTAGGTTCCATGAGATTCCGCTCCTAGCTCCAGTTCTAACAGGTATGAGTTTTCCTGGAGATAAAAATGCATTCTCCAGGGATCTGGTCTTCACATTTTGAGTAGTCCTTGGGTAAGGTAGAAATGAGCAATTTAACAAGGATTCTGATATGCATGGTCCCAGAGCCCACCTAGAGAAACACTGCCCCAAGCACAGTCAGAAAGATCAAAATCCAACGTCTAACTTTCTAAGTAGAAAAAACTCTTGCTCTCATCCTACTTGAAAGCCCCTTTGTCTGTGGTCTGATGTTCAGCAGGGCATTCTGATTTACTGAACTTTGTCATCTTTTACTCCATCTTCCCTTTTAAACCTACAAATATGATTTTGCCCACATGGTTTGAAGGTCTCTGGGAGGAGACTGTAGCTTGGACAGGATTCTTCCCTCTGTTATACTTGTGATAATATCCCAGAGCCTAGCATGCAGAGAAAGCAAGGAAAAGCCTCTAGGCTATTTTAAGCTTAATGTAGATGCCCCGATGTGCTTCCTTTAAAAGCTTAAAATGCAATATAAATATTACATCTTATAATTCCGTGGAAGTGGTAGGCCGGTCATCTCTGATTTGTTCTCCGCCTGTCATCTACCAGTTTCTGAATTAACTTCATTCCCATAATTAAGGAAATCTGCACCTCTAGGCTGGACAAAGGGGCTGCAGACCCCATACCTTGTCACACAGTGCCCTCCATATGATAAGCGCTCACACAAATAAAAA